GTTCAGCACTCAGGTACGCGTGGTGCTTACGTACGAGCAAGTGAAAGATTTGACGGGAGAATTGTTAACTCGGCAACCAGAAAAGCTGCAAAGCTGAAATTTTAGGGGATGTTCCCTGTTCACGTGCAATTTAAAAATTTCAAATTTAGCTTCCCAGGCACATGTACGGGCATGTGAATGTTTTGGCGGGAGAATTGCTAACTCGGTAACTAGAAAAGCTGGAAGGCCGAAATTTTGGGGAATTTGCCCTATCCAAGTACAACCCACAGCCTTTACGAAAGGCGTACGAAAGTTTCTACAGAAAAATTACTAACTCGGAACCGGAAAAGCTAGAAAGCTGAAATTTTGCGATTATGTTCCCCGTCCACATCGACCTAGAAGATTTCAGATTCAGTCCCCAAGTGTGCGCGGTTCTCACGTAAGGCCTGTGAAGTCGCTAACCTGGGAACCAGAAAAGCTGGGGGCTAAAATTTTGGGGTTTTGCTCCCAGCCTCCCTATAAGTTAAGGATAACAAATTTAGCTCCCAGATACGTGTGGTTCTGACGTACGGACCTGCGAAATTTTTTGGAAAGAAAATTGCTAACTCAAGGACCAGAAAAGCTGGAAAGCTGAAATTTTGACGGAATGTTCACTGTTAAAACATCGCATGGACAATTAATTCCCGAACTTCGAGAAACAGCATGTCATACATTCTAGCTACTGGGCTTCCGAGCGACCTCCTTACAGCACGAAATACCGCAAAAACGCATGATCGCACGGGCCTGCCGGGTGCGCATCGTCAATGATTTGAATATGTTCTCGGCTTGTGCGAACATGCGTTTTTGCAGCGTTGTAGTAAGATCATTAGGAGTCCCAGTAGCCAGAATTTACTGGACCCCGAAGTTCAGGAAGTTAACAGTGCAGCTAATTATTACTTGGTCAGGGCACATCATCTCAAAATTTCAGCCTTCCAACCTTCCTGATTCTTAAGTCAGCGAACTTTCCGGCCTCAAATTTTCAAGGGGTCGTACGTGAGGATCGCGTTCTACTGGGGTCACAACTTAAAATTTTTAAGTTATACGTGAGCTGAGAGCACTCCCTCGAAATTTCAGCCTCCCAACTTCCCTAGTTCCCGAACTAGCGATTTTCCCCTCGAAAATTTTTACGGGGCTGTACGTGGGGACTGAATATGAAACCTTTGAATCCTATTTGGACGGGGGACATATCCTCAAAATTTCAGTTTCTAGCTTTTTCGGTTCCCGAGTTAGCGATTTTTCCGCCAAAACTTTGCGTCCTCGTACACGAGGCACAGGCAAGCATGAGGGTTGGTATCGCGGTCCCAGGTTGGCAGTTGGCCAGTGAACTAAAGGGCTAAATTTTAGCGCCGGAGCTTGCTTGGTTGTCGAGTTGAAATACCTCGACACGCACGCACACACTCACGCACTGCATTTGCATTTATGCAAAAACGTATGAAAAGTGGAAAACTGAATTTCCTTGCAACGAATGTGATTTTCAATTTTACTCATGCGGGTAATAAATAAAGCTCGCATCGAGGTCTGTATGAAGGCTGTATCTAAAATCACCGAAGTTACACACGGACAAAAAGATCCTCTTGAAATTTCGACTTTTTGCCCTGTCTGATTACGGAGTTGGGAGATCTCTCGCCAGAGTGCACGCGTCCGTACGTAGGCATATGTGACACTGAACTTAAAATTTTTTGTTGCACACCTCGCTTGATTTTCAGCTTTCCAGGTTTTCTGACTGAAAAGTAATTTCCTCACCAAAATCTCGCGTAATTTCACGCAAACAAGACCTCGGCACTAACAGCTGGATTTGAAATCTTTAGACTGCATACTGAACACCGTCATAAAACTCCGGCTTCCCAACCCTTGTGATTCAAGTTAATTTCCGCGTCAAGACCTCTGTTAGACTACACGTAAGCACGAAACACCCTCCTCGAATTCGGCTTTCCAGTTTTTCTGCTTCCCATATTAATAATCTCTTTACACATGGGATTTGAAATGTAACGTTTAGCTCTCGATTTCCTTTGGAAAAA